TCCTCCTCCTCCTCTTCCTCTTCCTCCTCTTCCTCCTCCTCCGAAGTTGTTTTTTCATTACTTTGATCTTTTAATTGTATCTGTTTTTGTACAAATTCTTCAAATACAGCAGCTAATCGTTTTTCACCCTCAGTACGATTCTCAGCAAGTTTTCTCGCCAAATTTCTGTCTTTTGTAGCTGGATCTTCTGAATTTTCAAGATATAAAGAAAAAGTATCCCAATAATCGTTGCGCCTTGAACGTTGCAAGTATTCTCCGAGTTCTTTGAAAGCTTTTGTTGCTGCAATAACAATTAACTATATTAAATATATATTATTAAATATTGTACAGTAATATATAACATACATACAATTAAATGCATAACAAATATATTATATAAATAAACGTTTTTATACTTAAAACTATGATATTTATTTCTTACCCATTTGTTTTTGTTTATTTGTATCTAAGCCTAAATTTTTTTTGTCATTACATATACTAACACATTTCAAGATATCTCTATAATCAGGAAATATTAAATCATCTGTAAAAGTTTTTCCTTTTTTTTTTAAATTATTCCGTTCAGTAATTTTCTGGTTAATAAAATTTGTTATTGCTTGATCCACCGCAACAATCTGGGTTACGCTTAAATGTTTAGGACGCAAATATACACGTCCTGCATCAGCATTTTCCCCCGTTAGCTGACAAAGTTTACTATATAATTCGATCATCTTCTGTTTATATCTTTCAACCTTTATATAATTACTATCATTTTCTTCATTAAAATCAACTTCTTCTTCTTCTAATTTCTTAATCATTTTGTCGCATTTATCCATAGTGTGCAATATTTTCTTAATTTTTATTCTTGTTCTAAGTTCCTCTTCATTATCATTATCTTCATTTTTATCCTCATCCTCATCCTCATCATCCTCATTATCATCATCTGATTCTACTGCATTAATAGGTACACTGTCCATAGCATAAGAAGTAGAAGGAACTGCATCATAGATTTCACTAGTTTGTGATGTTCGAGAGCTCTTTTTAATCTTTTTCTTCATCTCATTCATTACTTCCTGTATATGTACATACAGTTTTTTGCTATCATTTGTAATAGCTTTGCGTTTTTCATTTAAAAACATAGCAAAATTATGTGATCTACGATAACATGGATCTAAGTTCTCATAACGTCTTTTTAACTTATCAATAATAATCATCATTTCTTGTTCATCATTTGTTGGACATTTTCGCGAACATAAACTTAGAAACAAGGGAAAAACATCCTGTGAAATATATGATATCTTTTTTTTTTCCTTCACAACCAATTGCGTCTTTATTTCTTGGTCCTCAGTTGGTTGTTTATTACAATTAGATTCAGCAAAACATGTCTCAGATAATAAATCTGTACAAGATATATCAGATTTATTTATTACTTCAGATTTATCCTGATCAACATCTAACTTTTTCCTTTTTTCTGTACTATAAGTTCTTTCTTTCTCAATATGTACAATTTTTCGTTTCAAATTTGTCTCTTCAATTTTTTCATTAACATTGAGTAACATTTCTGCTTCTTCATGAGCAATGGCTCCGTTAGCAATTTCTATAGATTTTATTAGAATTTTATCAGTTTTGTTTTTCTGAAAAATAATAAATTTCTTAGAATCAATATTTGTGTGTGTGTGGATTTTAAAAAGATAAATTTATTATCCTATATCTTTTCTTCTAAATGCAAGTTATTCTTGTAAAATAAATTTTAGAGATTAATGCAGACATCTTATAAGAGAAATTCTAAATCGACTAACGTCTAATTTCTTTATTTCCAGATAAATTACAGATTACTTTATCAGACAACAGAAGATATCTCCATTGCATTTTGACAGATATCTTCTGGATAAAGGTAATCTAGAAGTGAAGAAATTGAGCATTAAGTTTCATTATTTTCTTGCTTTTTTTAAATTGCCCTTAGTCTCCTAGACATAAATAAATACGACCAATAGAAACCAATAGTCAAATTGAGTAAATAATACCATGTATGCTAAAAAAAAATATTTAGCCCAAAAATCAAGTAATATGTCAAAAATGTCAAAGAATGTTTATTTGTACTTAGTGGCTTTCCTAATGTAACTTTTAATCTTTCTATCAAACCTTTTGCGAATCTGATTCATCATCAGACGAAATACAGATGACTTCCATTTCCATTAGATATCTCGTTCGAAATAGTGAATTGTGAACAAGCGTTACCGCCAAGTAAATTTGCACCCGTAACTCAATGCCTCCCAAATTATCCAGAACAACTTCCTGTCAAACAGCGACATATTAATAGTAACATACCCATATTGATCACGAAAAACGGTGTATTCTCGATGGATAATAATCCATCTGTGCGATGATATTCTACTAAGCATTTTTATTTAACCAAACATTTGACATTTTAGTAGTTTTCACAACCATGAGTAATTCGTAAAATGTTCGAGAAAAAAGTTCGTGCGCAAACACGCATTTTTGGTCTCTTGGAAATAGTAACTTTATGAAATCCATGAATGCACCGAACTGTATTTCTCGGTCAGAAAGAAGAAAGGTAGCTTTTCTACTTGCCTTGTTTCTAATTAATTTGTCGGCCTCGTAGATGATTCGTTCAGAAGATACAGATAAAAGTACATTAAGGTTCACATTTCAGTGACAAATTGGTGCTCGGTCAACAGAAAATACGTCTAAACTGCTCTTTAGTTTCCGTTTTTATGACGACAGAAAAAAAAAAATGAAAGCTCGAAAAGTACTTCACACAGAAAATTTACGGTACTTTTGTCCATGCGGTAATCGAATATAAAGATAGAAATATTATTAATGTCTGTATGTGCACTGTTATTGGTCAATTGTTAGGGAAATTCAATCTTCTAACATGGTACTCATGCATAAGAGAACAGTAGAAAGCATTGATTGGTGTGATGATTGAGAAAACGGTAGAATAGAAACTTCGAAAAATCTGTTCAGGCAGATATACACATGCAATGACTTGGCGTTTTCCAAAAAGAAGCAATATGGCGTCTTCCAAATCAGACGTATGATTGGTCAATCTGATGTGTCATGTGACTACATTGAATCTAAACAGCCTTGTTATCCTAACAAAGGAAATTTATCATAGAGTGCGCTAGTATCGATAATGTGCGTTGGAGCAGTCTGCTGCGCAGTAGTCTGTTGCGCATGCATGTATATATATGATTGCGTTCCGAAAGATCAGTCGAAAAGTTCTATGGCTTCTAGGGTGCGTTCAGAATGAAAATTTTTCGTCCGGACAAGAGTGTCCACGGGTAATGTGACGTCACACGCTTGGACATTTTTATTCTGAACGAACAGGACAAACTTGGGACGAACAGTTTTATTATAAAGCGTGACAAATTTACAAAATTTGTTATTAAATAACAATTGCAATTACAATTTACTAGTTCTAGGTAAAAAGTTTGTCATCTGGACGTTCATTCCAAACGCAACCCTAGGAGTTGTGAATTTATTAACTACCGCGTTGCGGAGCGGATGGATCATCACATCCAAATATGCTGGGTTTGTTTGGAGCGACTCCGAACAGCTCCCGAGAGATAAGACGAACAATACTATAATATATGACTCGTTTCTTTGTAAACCCCTCATAAGTGGATCGCACCCTATTGTAGGATTCACACTGCGGGTACGGTCGAGTTGCCACTACGAATGCTTTGAAGCGTTTCTTGATTGGTCAATTAGTAAAATTCTTTCTTTTGATTGGTCAATCGAACGCTTCGTAGTGGCAACTCGACCGCACCCTGCATCCGATGTAAACTCTGCAACCAATGTTTCCAACATTCAACCGTAATCTCAATCGCAACAGAGCGCGCAACCCGTAGTGTGATTACGGCTTAAATCAGAAGAAAGAATTATACTAATTGTCCAATCAAAAAATGCTTCGAAGCATTCGTAGCATCAAATGGACCGCAGCCAAAATATCGGCCTGAATCCAGGGTATCGATCATGAAACTTTTTCCCTAGGATAAAAAGTGAAAAGTGAAAATTTTTATCATTGAAGTTAATGGAGAAATTTTCATGAAAAGTTTCATGATCGATACCCAGCATATGAAGAACAAACCTTTAGTAATTTTTGTATCCCTAGAGGTAGTAGTGGTGAAGTCATACTAGATTTCTAACCTAATTTACGTTTTGCGCGCCTAAATTCAGCCTATTTACTTTCAGACGTTCAACTTGTCAGTTATTCAAAAAAACTGAATTTGACGGTGATTATAGTTGCTTTCCATTTGCTCCGATTTTCAGATAATTCTCACTTGTGACGTTATAACTCAGTTGAATGCGCGTTCCTTTTGCATTCTGAGAAGTGAGATTCAACTGAGTTTTTCTCTGCAAACTGCACAAGATCGAGACCGTGTGCTTTATTGAGTCTCGTAGACTCACTTTAAAAGTGAGATCATAAACCTGTGTTATTTGTTAATTTTACCAAAGTAAACAAGTAGTGACGTCATTAATCTGGGTATCAATCATGTAATTTTTTATCTAGAGCGGAAACGTGAAAAGTGAAAATTTTTATGAATGTATGTATGAACATATACACACACATGCAAAAAATTTTCACTTTTCACGTTTCCGCCCTAGAGAAAAAGTTACATAATCGATACCCTGAGTATTTCATACTCAGCTCACTTCAGACTCAGTTTCACTTGTGTGTAAATCAAAAGCAACTTATCATTTAGTAAAATCATGTGGAACGAAAGCTCCGTGGGTGGAGGTGGATTTCTAGACGATAGCACACAGGGTGCTGGTACTGGCAAAAGAGGATCACAAAATGACAAGACTATTGTTCCCGTATTAATAAAACATATCACATCCACCACTGGGGACTTGCAAATTGCCGGTAGAACCGTAAACATTTTGTCTATTGTTGGAATCGTCCGTCATATTGAGCAAGATACGACAAAAATCTCTTACACTATCCAGGATGATACAGGTGTTTTGTTTATGCTGTTTTGATCTTAATGCTAATCAATCATTACAGAATGCAAAAAGTTTTGACAAATTAATACATCTTTTAATTAAATTTATATATATATAAATTTAAATACCTTTTAAGTTCGTACTTCTGTTTACATATTTAAAGTATTTTATTTGTCAATATATAAAAAACATGTCTTGTATATATGAAACACAAAATTTCTACATAATTAGAAAATTTTAAAAACAGTTTTTATGATTAAATTTTTAATTTGTTCTTTTTATTAGAAAACAAAAAATTTACTTAATTTTATTTTACATAGGTACTCTTACAGCAGTTATGTGGTTAGAAGCAGATAAGAATCCTGATGAAAGTAACACTTGTACGCAAATTAATACATATGTACGAGTTAATGGACTGATACGCACACAAAATAATCAACGACATGTATTGATTCTACGTATGTCTCCTCTGGAGGACTTGAACGATTTGACGTGTCACTTTATGGAGGTTATGTATTTCATACTGAAGGCTAGCAAACCTGTGGAAGAGTCTAGTTTACCTTCCAATAATTCATTAATGATTGATAATACAATGAGTGGTATGTCACCTGAACAAGCAAAAGTTCTTGAGGTGGTTCGGTCAGCGAATGAAGCTGAATGTGGTATTGAGAAATGTGATATTTTGGCAAAAGTACCGAAACACATTATACCTCGTTTAGATGAGATATTAGACTTTCTTCTCTGCGAAGGACATATTTATACAACCAGTTCAGAGGATTTCTTTAAAGCAACCTAAATCATGTTATTTTTAAAAAGTTTGATACAATTAAATTAGTTTAAATACAACAATTTATGTTCATATTAAATATATAAATTTTGCATTTAAATTATGTTACATTTGTTTTGTAACTTGTTCTTTCTGTAGATATAAATCAATATACAAGAAAAATAATTTTTTTCTTCTGTATAAGCCAATTAATATATATATATAATAATTTGTTTCAAACATGTCAATGTATTTCCATTAAGCTTAAAATACTTTAATAATAAAATATTTAATAAAGAATATTTTGTAAAATATCTATTTTTTTTATTGTTAAGGCTCCTGAATACTCAGCCAAGAACTCCGTGTTGATGGGTAGCGACACCGAATCAGTCGGTGGCTAGCAAAACTGGTAGTACGCTACTGGTTATACACACAATTGCAAGCTCATATCCGTGTGCTCATTTTCGGGTAGAAGGGGAGCGCACAGACATGGGTTCATGCTTGTGTGTGTGTATAGCGCCTCGCCATGGTAAAAGTCTGAACTAATAGGCGTGAAAAAGTGATGTTTTGACGACAAATTTTTTCTTGCGTGCCATTTTGTCAATATTTGCTTATTTGTGAAAATGTGACTTCCCTCGTACTCGTGAAAGTCCTAAAAATTGGCGGAAACTGCAGTTATCGTGAAATTTTATACGTAAAAGCGTATATTTCACTCGTTTCATCAGCTGTCAAAATGTGTGATTCTGCCCGAGTATAGGCTCACTTTACGTGTCTTTTACGACCATTTACTGACTATCAGAGGAGGAAAGGACAGTTTCCGCCAATTTTCACAAGTGTTTTTGAGCGATCTCGCCTTTTAAATTTATCCAAATTGTCTTTATAAAAAAATGGGACGCAAGAAAAATTAATGTGTTTTTCTCGCCTATGACGTCACAATTCCAATATGGCCGTCGCCGGTATTCAGGAGCCTTAATATTTAAATATAAAAAAAGAAACCATGTGATGTCTCCAATATAGGGTGTGTTCAGAAAGACATGGAATCACAGACTAGATATTGAAGATTGAAAGATTAAAATTTGGTCAATCTAAACAGTAGGAGCTAAAATTTCTTTGGCTCTTATTGTTTTTAAAACCATCCACTATGTTAGAAATCGATCCGAAATCTTGAATGAAGAAAATTGATCAAATGCATTGGTCATGTGACCAAATTGTTCAAATGTGATTTGTTAATTTTTTATCCGAGATCTTGGACCAATTTTTAACATTGTGGATATAATACGGGATCTATAATAGAAATCGTATGCTTACGATAACTCGAGTTCGGGTTAGTTTCACTAGGACCGAAAAATATGGTCCAAATCAATCGTTTATTAGTCAGCCATTTTTAATACCAATGAATGAATGTCATGATTGGCTGACAGTCATCAGCGAATCAGGACGCGGAACATCAGTTGCGCTTCTCTGATATGACTCTACATACACTTGACACTACAATGCTTCGTAACTTTCGGTTGCCCAATCAGAAGAATTTTACTAACTAACCAATCAAAAAATGCTTCGAAGCGTTTGTAGCATCAAATGGACCGTAGCCATGAAATATCGGAGTCCGTAAAATTCCCTAGTGTATACATACGATACAAACTGAATATACCATTCTGATTTAACATTTTTATTCATGGACGATTGTTCTTTCCGGTTGTAGATTGCACGAGACACAATGGGTATGTGTTACAAAATTTCTTATTATTATTGAAAAAAATTATTAGTTTAGAAATAACGATTATAAAACGTGAAAATCTTTCGATAAAAATTCTACTGATATATTTTGCTCAACATTTTACACACTTATAAATGCACAGTAGTACTTTTCCTTTTGATGCTTAATGTAGCATGCTTCGAAATTATGAGAACGTGTAACAATTATTGTCAGACATGCCAATACAGATTATAGTACCATGGTATTAATACAATAACTTTATCTCATTTTGAACGTATAGATATTTTTAATATTTTTCCAAGTAAAGAATTTGTTTTGTGTGTTTAAAAAATATAATATAAAATATAACCTCATTGTAACATGTTCTTCGCATTGTAGGTAAACCAAGAGGTCTTCGTACAGCGCGTAAGCACGTGAATCATAGACGCGAGCAGCGATGGAACGATAAGGACTACAAAAAGGCACATTTGGGAACTAGATGGAAGGCTAATCCTTTCGGTGGTGCCTCTCATGCTAAAGGCATTGTATTGGAAAAAGTGTAAGTCCATGTGATAATTTTATGTTCCTTTCCATCAATGTATAGATTAATTTTAATTTCAGTTTAACTTATTTTTATCTTTTTCTAGTTTTAAAAATTAGTAAAGATGAAGGATAGGTTGAACCGAGAATCAAAATTAATCTATATTAGTTGAAACATATATTAAAATAAATATTTAATTTGAATCTAGTTAGTCATGTGGTTTATTGATATTTGTCATTTTTCAATAGAGGAGTAGAAGCAAAACAGCCAAACTCTGCCATTCGTAAATGCGTCAGGGTACAACTGATCAAGAATGGAAAGAAGATTACAGCCTTTGTACCACGAGACGGTTGCCTTAATAACATCGAGGAGAACGATGAAGTTCTAGTGGCAGGTTTTGGTCGTAAAGGCCATGCCGTCGGTGATATTCCTGGAGTACGATTTAAGGTGGTGAAAGTTGCAAACGTTTCTTTACTTGCTCTATACAAAGAAAAGAAGGAACGACCTAGATCTTAAAATATCAACCAGAAATGTGTATTTGACAAATATACAATACATAAGTTAAAAACTTATAATTGTTCTCTTTTAATCGTATTATCAGAGTACCTTCCTCTATACTGTCCTTTAATATCTATTATGTGTTTATGATTTATTTGTATAAGTAAACAATTCTATTCTTTTGTGTACTAAAATCTGAAACTTTATAAATTACACTAAACAATTACAGACTTATATACACGATTATAAATATCAAATCATTCAAGACCATTGCTTATTAAATTTGTGAGTTCCTCATTACATATGACTATATCTTCTATAATTGCGTTTAAAGGTGTAATAGTTTTCGGTAATTCCTCTGCTAATTTCACGTTAGATAACTCTTCTTTTGCTTGTAGTATCTACAAGTGTAATTAAAGATGCATTTTTAAGAAGATGAATATAACATTATACAGTAATATGGATAAAATTTGTACCTTTTTCAAAGAGGAAAAATCGGAGCAAATACTTTTAATGTTTGAACAAATAGAATCAGAAATATCTTTATCTAAATCTCTGGCTGTTACTGGCCAAGATGACACTGTATGAAACGCTTCTATAAACCTTTTTTTTTCATTGTCAAACAGTACAGTCTGTTCTTCGTTAACCACTCTATCATCAGTCTATATTAATTTTTACATAAAATATCAATATAATATATATATACACATTATTTATAATTTTATCAATATAATCTTGTCATTACCTCTATGTGTAAATCTTGAGACATGTTAGTTTTAACTTCTTCACAATCATTATTTAATATTTGTTTCTCAATTTCTTCAAAATATTTAGTAGCTTCAGCATAACTTATTTTTGATTTAATGGCAGAAAGAGAGGATGTTTGATCAGTTTCACTAATACACAACTAAAAATATATTTAAAAAATATATGTCAGTAATTATTAATATATATTTATAAAAATAAATAATTGTTCAACATTATCATGGCTTTACTTACCTTAAGAATATCTGTAAGTGCTGCTTCTGTCTCATTTGTACTTTCAATAGGTTTTACATAAACTTTTCTCATAAAATCTAGCAGTAATTTTAAAGTTGGCAGTTGTTCCTTCAAGGAACATTTACCCTAACATAAAATTAAGATTTTTTATATAAGAGCAATCACATCAATATAATTATAAAGTATAATTTATCTATAAAATAGTTTATAAACAAACCAGCAATACATCCTTGTTGTTGCAGATTCCAATCTGAGCATAATGCTCAAACACCTGATCTATAAAAAGACATTTTTCAATACATTAATATGTCATATTTTTAAATATCATTTTTTTATAGCATATATAAATTCACTAAAAATAATAATTAATAATCCAATTTATAATTTGACTGTTGAATATTAAATTGTATAATAGATAAAATAGAGATACCTTCCAAAGCAGAATTCTTCAACTTTCCTAAATGAGCGACAATTGACGGTGATTTCTCTGTCAGAAGCCAGGAAAGTAAACAAATCCGATTTTCACCACTGAGAATTGTTGACTCCAAGTCCTTCGACTCCGTATTTGTAATGTGTGGATATCGTAATTGTAGCAAAGTATCATATATGCTTGTCATAACATCGCTCACGTCATTCATAGTAGCAAATTATGAGATACACTTGCTAAAAATATAAACTTTTAATTTCGCAATTATCTCGTTTCAGATATTCATTTTTTGCTATTTTACAAAATATCATTAGGGTGAGTATAATATTTATATTAAAAAAGATGTTTCAAGTTTCAAACAATATGCGTAGGCCATAGCTAACAGAATCAAATAAGATGGGAGACTCACATTCGTTCGAGACCTAATAAGAATCGCGACATGAGAACGTTGATTGATCAGAAAACAAAATTTTGCTTCGTATAGATGATACGATTTTTCTGATTGGTTGCAGAGTCGTCGTACGACGAAAATCGGATGCATTGTGAATCCAGCATAGGGCTATCTTTGTCTTCTGATCCCTGAAAACAAAGATAGCCTTAATCGCGGTAACTTTTGGTAGCTTTTGGTTGGATAACGAAAAAACGCCTTTGGTTTGTTATATTTCAGAAGTTCCTGCCCTAAATTTAAATACCTATATTTGTATTACTTTTAAATTTCAACAAATTTCTTACATTATTATGTGTTAAAATTATCTATGCGAGAAGAATTGTTTAGTTAGTAACACCTTTTAATATTACAAAGTTAATTAAAAAATTTAAGAATTTGATTGTGTATCTCTCTTGAAACGAAGTTAAAGTTACAAAAGTAAATAAGTTCATTAAAATATTAATAATTTTATGAGATCTTAATAAATTTATTCAGTTCTGCAACTTTCACATGTTTCAAGAATCAAGATACATAATTGATACTCTGGTATGTACATAAAAAAATAAAATTTTTTTATTCTTTTAATTTTTAAGTCATAGCAGACGATTAAATAATTTTTCCTGCTGAATTGCTACAATGGGCGCGTTCAGCGGACTCAACAATTGAGTGAGCGCTTGCTATTATTGGTGTATTCTTTTAGATCATCCAATCAGAATTTTAGATCTAGAAGAATACACCAATGTTGATACTATCAACACTGTAGCTAATACGGTGACAAAATTCTAATATAGCTAGCGATTCAACAAAAAAACAAGTATGTCGTTAACTTAAGTTAATAGTTTATGGTCAGTATTAATAATTCTTTAAGCAGGGAACACAATGAAAAGCACAGGCAGTAGAAACAGGAAATAACAAATTTTAACCTATCAAAAACCATATACTAGAATGAATGCTTCTTCTGATAGGTTCAATGAGTCGTTTTGTAAATTCACCCACATCTGTTCTTTGTAAGTAAAATTTTTACATAGTTAATTTTTTCCTCATTTTCTCTCGACATTAAAGAGAAAAAGAGAAAAATAAATCGTGCCATAAGTTCGGCTTAAAAAATTACAAGTTTATAATGTTTCCGACTTTAACCCACTAATCCAGCTGATCGATTAGGATAGAGTCGATCGTTTACTTTAAAAAACGAGATAAAAATTACAAATTAAACAAAGTCATTAGCTATTGATTAATAAACTTATAAAAATTTTAATAAATCGCTCATTTTTGTAATTTTTATCAAGTTATATTGAGCTTCAGTTGAAAAGAACACTTTTCAACTGGAGCTCAATTGTGTATTATATAACTTGATAAAAATTACAAAAATGAGCGATTTATTAGAATTTTTATAAGTTTATTGATCAATAGCTAATGACTTTGTTTAATTTGTAATTTTTATCTCGTTTTTTAAAGTAAACAATCGACTCTATCCTAACAGATCAATTATCAATGTGTATATTTCAGACGTACCCATCAATAATGAATGACATATGAATCTTTAATCGAATTTAATTTTACAAGACTAACATTTTTCTTTTTACTTACGTTACTAGAGTATATTTGAAACGAAATATATAGGCGTTGAAAAGAAAAAAAAACGAGAAACTCGTGTGAGTGCAAATAAAATGAACGAATTTTAAATGTTACGGGATTGAAGTATGCCCGATTGGAGTAGCCAGTCAGGTACGCTATGTCCCTTCCACTTCATTACTTCGTTTTCCAAGTAAAGACTTCGCACTTCGCAGTTCGCAGCCGGTCCGGTCTCATTCTTTTCGCTTGCACGATTCTATGGAGAGCGGGATAAGAATAAAAATATTTTTGTGCAGTAGCTTATTCTGTCGTATCGAAACTAATTTGGCGCATGAGGGACGATCGTAAAAATATTTCGGTAACTTGGAGTTATCTGCAATCGTCGAAGATGTGTCGAGGTGATTGGGAATCGTGTGTTTCTTTGGTTTGTTGATTTTATGATACCGTATAAAGTATCATGGCGTCTAAGGGCCATGTGGACAACACAGTGAATGAACGTCGGCTGCGACCGATTTACGGTACGTATACCCGCATCGACGATGATTGTATCACAAGTCTATCGTGTGCACTCCCGCTGGACTACCCGGTCGCGACTTTGGGACCGGTGACGAGGTTATATAATGGCATCCGGTATGAGGTTTCTCTGTCGGTTTCAGACTGGCTGGATAATGGGAACAATAAAAAGGCTCTGCAGGAGGCAGACAAGGTACTGAAGAAGCACCCTACTAACCAATGTGCCAGGGTACTCAAGGCTCTGGCCCTGTTGCGTATGGGCAAGGAAAATGAGTGTCAGATCATTATGGACAAAGTGCGCTCTGAGGTACCCTGTGAGGATTCTACCTTGCAAGCAATGAGTATCTGTTACAGAGAGATACATCAACGTAAGTTCTTAGTTCATCTTCTGATTTGGAGCATAAAGATTGTATTTAAGTTTGATTATGTTATGATATTATGTCAATTTTAAATTTATGCGTACAGCGGACAAAGTCAGTGAGCTTTATGAGGCTGCTGCTAAGGCTGATCCAAACAACGAAGAGCTCCTGACGCATCTCTTCATGTCATATGTTCGCCTCGGCGATTATAAAAAACAACAACAAACTGCTCTTAATTTATATAAACTAACTCATAAAAACCCATATTATTTTTGGGCTGTTATGAGTATAGTAATGCAAGCTATTCATGCTGATCAAAAGTTAGCAAAAGGAATTATCTTGCCTTTAGCAGAAAGAATGGTTAGTACATCCACTGTTACCATTGTAATTGCTTAAGAAATTATAAAGAGTATATTAGTTTATATCGGTGAATTCTAAAACATGCTGGAAAGCTTACAAGAAGAAGAGAGAAAGGAAATTCTTGACCAGAGAGAGCCGAGAAAGACAGTTGACATAGGGATTGTTTTCTCAGTTTTCATGTATTATCTATATAGGGAATATTGAAATTATAGAACATAATAATACTTAAAAAACAAATGTGATCCCTTGCTGAACACTCTTTGTCGACTCAACTGTTTTTATGGTGGTAAGCTTTCTAGTATGTTATAAAGTTCTATGGTTTGCGCATAAATGAATATTATAAAAATAATAACAATTTTTTTACAAATATATTAGGTCCTAAAACTGGTAAGAGAAGGAAAGATAGAAGCAGAACAGGAA